TTGATTTGGGGTTTGTCGATTTCGAGGAGAATTCAAGGAAAATCAAATTGCAAAGAAGAAAGAGACGAAAAATATGGATATTTTGGTAGCAGATACGTAGCAAAAGGCGACCTGTTGTGGTCGAACAACAAATACAAACCACGAGAAAGAAGAAGAAAGTTAAAATTTTAAGATAAATTCATAAATATAGATCCCCAAAAGCAGTATATTGATGTTGGAGTTAAAGACTTAGCGTAAGCTTAATGATAAAATTAGAAGTTTTTATAATTAAATGATTAAAACATAAACAAATAAAAAATTTAGGTCCGTAATCATGAATTTACCCTATTTCTATTGCAGTGAGGGTACATAGAATAAGACAAAAAAAACATCAAAAGTCCATGTAATTTAAAAAGAGATACTTTCCGTATTTAATTATTATGGTACTGATGTGATAATAAATAGATTAAATTGATAATTTAAATATGATAGATAAATTGACATGTCAGTATCATAGACACTACATTAATACCGTAATAGTTAAAAATGTTTGTTTAAAAAATCACATTAAATATATTTTGAAAGTTGAAGGATAATATTAAAAAAATAATACATAAATCACATTAATTAATTTTTTAACAATTATAATATCCTCTTAATAACCATCCAAGTTGTTGGAACATGACAAAAAAATGCTTGTCAAATGATTAAACTTGATTAAACAAAGGGTTAGGTTATGATGGAGGAAGCACCCAGCATCACAGCCACATGCCATTGAATTTGCAATAATTTCACTATATTTTTCTTTGCTCCAAATCTCCAATGCATTCAAACACGTGTAATTAGCAGGGCGCCGTGCTTTTCAATTATTGTGCCGTAACTGTTTAGAAACGCCTTTTGATTGGTCGAGAGTTGTTATTAGTTGTTGCCCAGATCTCTTCTTTTTCATCTCGTTGCAATGGCTTACGAAAAAGAGCTGGCTACCGCCGTTAAAGCTGCTTCTCTCGCTGCTCGTCTCTGTCGGGTAATTTTTCTCTAGCGGGTTTTCAGTGTATAATTTTGATTTACTTCTAATACTTTGGGTATTGAATTCACAAAATTCAGTTGAATTTTTTGGTTTTTTTTGAGAATTTAACATCCAATCGGTGATGCTTCATGCTTGTGCAAATTTTGATTATGTAACCTGAACTTGGGTATTTCTTCTTCTTCCTCCTATTCTTTTATGTTCAGAAAGTGCAGAAGGGTTTGCTTCAATCAGATGTCCGATCCAAAAATGGTAGGCATCAAAGTCCCGTAACTGTTGCTGATTATGGTACGTTTCTTGAATTTTCTTGCGCCTTAATCACTCGTTGACTTACAAAATGGTCCTAACTATAATGCTGCTTCGTAGAATCCCGACTATTAAAATTTTTAAAATAATTTTCTAACTATAAAACGTTATTTTGTTGAGTTTATCGACTATTAAAATTTTAAAAACAATAACTCAAATATTCATTTATTTCAATCGTTATTTTTTCTTTAAAAATTTGATAATCTTCTGAGCTAGACGTTAACATATTATTGAGGTATGATAGTTATTTGAGATTTTGAGATTAAATTTTATCATATCTCAGTTAGCATGTTGACATTCAACTCAAATTGCTGTTAATTTTTTAACAAAAAAAAGGACGAGTTCATAACATATAAATAGTCAGATAACCATTTTATAACTCTTAACAGTTGAAAGACTCAATAAAGTGACGTTCTATAATCAATGAATCATTTTATAACTTTTAATAGTCGAAACTATACAATGCGCTATAATCGATAGACCATTTATGTACTTTATCCTCTAATATTTTATGTTAAGTTTGATAGTTGACTAAATGAAAATAAAGATGTGACATAGTATAATAGTTTTAGTCCTAAATTTTATACATTTTATTAAATTGATCATAATTTAAGATAATTCATTAAATCATCTATTTTTAAAAACTATCTATCTATACTCGATAATTACACTAAGGTCTTGAGTAACATAGACTAAAATATATTTTTTTTACTAGGAAATTTACAGAGTTGTATGGTGTTTCCTAATTTTTTATATATATTATTGACCTCAGCATGTTTTAACCTTTATGATTTGCAAACCTTGATTATATAAATTTTGAAACTTTCATCAGGCTCACAAGCACTGGTCAGTTTCGTGCTGCAGCAGGAATTCCCTGGTGAATTCTCATTAATGGCCGAAGAGGTAAAATTCTATGCTCTTCTGAAAAAAATGGTTGCAGTTAGGGATGGTAATGGAACAAGACGAAATTAGAGATTGCCTCATTCATTTTCATCTAGAGATTGCCTCATTCATTTTCATCTAGAGGTGTTTAGGAAGCTTCATAAGCCATGCTCTTTTTTCACCTTAAACCATAGAATTCTTGTTTCTTTTTTTTTTCTTCTAAATGATGTTTGACTTGGTTTAGGATTCGAACGATCTTCGCAAAGACGGTGCGGGGGAAATGGTGGAGCGAATTACGGAACTTGTGAACGAATCTCTGACTAGAGATGGATCATACAATGTTACTTTATCTCCGGAAGATGTTCTTAAAGTCATTGACAGTGGCAAATCCGAAGGTGGTTCCGAAGGTCGGCACTGGGTTTTGGATCCTGTAGATGGTACTAAAGGGTGAGTTAGCTTCGTAACTTAGAATCTGACATATATGTTGCTTTGACTTATATTCTTCTTTAAATTTAACTTCCACCGGTGTTCCCGATCCATGTCGGCGGAGTAATGAAGTTGGTTGTCTTTTCTTTGCTGAAGTTGGTGGAGGAACTTATATGCAACCGCTCGACGGTTCTTCAACAGTCAAGGTCATAAATGATTTATCATATTCTGGGATTTAAATTGCAGATCCAGATGGTTACACACTCTATTGATCCGATATATTTATATGGTATTCAGGTGCAAGTAAGTGGTGTTGAAAATCCTGAAGAAGCATCATTCTTCGAGTCGTATGAAGCGGCACATTCCATGCATGATCTATCCAGTTTAATTGCCCAGGTACTCTCTCCATGTTTCACTCTTCAGATAAGCATGTTCAGTTCTGTATTTGGTCATTGTGGTGAAAAGATTGAGATCAAAACAGAAACTTGGGGTGCAAACAACACCAATTAGGATGGATAGCCAGGTAAAGTATGGGGCACTTTCCAGGGGAGATGGAGCCATATATCTACGTTTCCCTCGAAATGGATATCGAGAGAAAATATGGGATCATGCAGCTGGCTCCATTGTTGTAACTGGTATGAAAATCTAAATATTTGACCTGCAGCCAATCATTGTTTACTTCTTTATGATGATGACATCGATTTGCCATTAATCATTTGCAGAAGCCGGGGGAGTGGTCACAGATGCCGCAGGGAACCCGTTGGATTTTTCGAGGGGAAAGTATCTCGATCTCGATACCGGCATCATCGTTTCGAATCACAGGTTGATGCCATTAGTGTTGAATGCAGTTAGAGCGTCCCTGGACGAGAAATCCACTGGCTCAAACTAACTGTTTCATTGCTCTCTACTTGTAATCCTTATTCACCCCATTTTTTACATTGTAATTTTACTTGAGATAATATACTCCAAATTCAGTTTCTTTCAATACAACAAATTCAAAACCCTAAATCATTGTTTTTATCATGATGTGGACTTTTCACATGGTATTAGAGCTATGAATATGATAGCTCTTCATTGGTGGTTTTGATGTCTGTTGGTCGATTTTCTCTCCCGCTAACTCTTGTTTTATTCTCCAGTCTTCATTTTTTTTATCATTTTGATTTCCACAGTTGTGAATCTTTTATCGACATAATATTTCTTTTTTTTTAATGGTATGTGGTGATTATAAGATAGTATATGATCATAAATTTTCTTAGCATGTTAGAACGTGCACACACATCCTGCAAACACAACTACCTGAATTCGAGTCATCTAGGGAGAACGGTATTCTCTTTTATCATTAAAATCACTCTTTCTTACCATTTCGATTTAGAGTTCTCAAATCAATGACGAATGTATTTTGATCACTATATTTATTGCACCATAATCGTCAAAAATTCTTTCACTAACATCAGAAATTCTACATCTCTAATGAGATATTTTCATTTAAATTTCATTTGATTTATTTATTATTAGTATACTGATTTCCTGACGTACTCGTCGATTTCATAACTAAAGGTAGTGTATTAGCATTGAATTAGTCACTGTGATGTATGAGGTTCGGAGTTCCTGATGCACTTAATTAAAATGTAAATTAAAACGTAGTGTTAAAATTAAAATGTTTTAAAGTTTAATGAGAAAATCAATACACAATCTAAAATTAAGTGACTAATAGTATAATTTACCAAAATAAAATCATAGAACTACTCTTGCTGATTTCTCGGCCTTTCCCTCCCTCCCCGTAGTTGTCTCCGTGATGTTTTCTATACGAGTCCTTTCCCTCTCATTTCTTTTTATATTATCATTTTCAGGAAGTTTTAAGAACCCCTGCATTAATCAAACGAACGAACTAAACTCATGAACAATTCTTTTTAGTTTTCCAGCAACCGCTAAAAGCTGAAATATTATTTTCTGTTTCCAGGTAATTTTTATGTACTTTTTTTTTAAATTTTCATTGGCACTGTTTCACTAGATCTCGTTGTTCCGAACTACAATTTTGAAATTCTCGATTATATACTTCTTTACTCTGTTTATATATATATTAGTGTTTCTGTTGCATGATGTATAATATAGTAGGAAATATAGCTGGTTTATTGATGTAAGAAATGATAGAAGATGAAATTTGAAGGATCAAATGAAGAATACGTGCATAGGAATAGTAGAAATAAAAGAATAATAAAGCATTTTATTCAATTTTTTTGAATTTTAGAAAGCAATTTTGGATCTCATTCGATATGCATTAGCTTATACGTATTTAAGTGTAGTTTGGATGTAGTTTTTTTTTCTTCCAATTTCAGGTGTTAAATTTTGATGATTTGATTGGTAAAGGAAGGGAATAGTGATCATGGCATTAGGAAGATATGGTAGAGTAGATAATAGGAGGTCATCATCGTCGAGTTATGGTTCCACTGTCACCATTGTGGTTTTCGTGGGATTATGTTTAGTTGGAATTTGGATGATGACTTCGTCCTCGGTTATCCCCTATCAAAACGTGTACGAAGTGGCTCATGATAAGAAAAACCAACTCGATGATCAGGTTACACCGGTAATCGATAATAGCAATGACAGGAGCAACGAAAAGAAAAACCAAGTTGATGATCAGGTTACACCGGTAACCGATAATAGCAATGACAAGAGCAACAACGTTCAATTCGAAGATAACCCTGGGGATTTACCTGAGGATGCCAGGAAAGGGGATTCAAATGTGAGTCTGTCTAAAGATGATGGCAAGGGCACTGGCAACTTAAGTACACAAGAAAACAAGGGGAATACTGAAGAGAGTAAGTTGGACGAGTCTAAGAAGGATAAGAAGCAATTGGATTCTCAAGGTGGACAGACAAACAACAGTGGTGGTGAGAATTTAGCCGAGGATGCAAAGATAGGGGTCTCAAAAGTGAGTGGGGCTAAGGATGGTGGCACTGGAAACTTAAACACACAAGAAAACAAGGGGACCGCTGAAGAGAGTAAGTTGGATGAGTCCAAGAAAGATAAGAAGCAATTGGATTCTGAAGGTGGACAGTCAAACACATAGGGTGAGAATTTACTCAGGGGTGCAAGAATAGGGGACTCAAACGTGAGTGTGGCTAACGATGGTGGCAGTGGCAACTCAAACACACAAGAAAACAAGGGGAACACTGAAGAGAGTAAGTTGGATCAGTCCAAGAAAGATAAGAAGCAATTAAATTCTGAAGGTGGACAGACAAACAACAGTGGTAAGAATTTATCCGAGGAAGATACGAAAGGGGATTCGAATGCGAGTGTGGCTAAAGATGATGGCACTGGCAACTTAAATACACAAGAAAACAAGATCACTGAAGAGAATAAATTGGACGTGTCTAAGAAGGATGAGAAGCAGTTGGATTCTGAAGGTGGACAGATAAACAACAATAGTGAAAAATTGGGTGGATTAGAGGGTTCTGAAGAGAATTCTGTTGACAAAAAATCTAATCCGGGGGAGAGCAACAAGAAAGCTGTTGCCAATGAGAACGACAAGAAGTCTGATTCTGGTAGTGGTGAAAAGAAACCGGATGAAAAATCATCTGAAACTAATGGAGGTAAGGTGGATGGTCAGATTGAGGGAAAGGTTGATCAAAATGGCAAAAATGAGTCTGACAAAAAGGATTCTGAAGGTGGACTGACGAACAACAATAGTGGTAAGATTTTGGGTGGACTAGGAGATTCTGAAGCGAATCCTGGTAACATAAAGTTTGATTCAAAAGAGAGCAACGAGAAAGCTGTCTTCAATGAAAAGAACAGCAACAAATCTGATTCTGGTGGCAGTGAAAAGAAACCAGTTGAAAATTCCTCTGGAACCAATGGAACTAAGGTGAATGGTCAGATAGAGGGTAAGGTTGATCAAAATGATAAAAAGTTGGATAAAAGCTCTGATGAGGCAAAAGATTATCCTCAAGTGGAAAACCAGAGCTTAAATGAAGTTTCCTCCTCTGTTGCTCAGTCCGAACTTTTGAGTGAAACCAATATTCAGAATGGATCATTCTCTACTCAGGTGGCAGTATCAACAAATGAAAAGAAGACTCAGTTAGCATCCAAGGAATACAGTTGGAAGCTTTGCAATTGTACTGCTGGACCTGATTATATCCCATGTCTTGACAATTGGGAAGCAATTAGGCATCTCCGTACCAACAAACATTACGAGCATCGAGAGAGGCATTGCCCAGAAGAGCCACCTACCTGCCTTGTTCCTCTTCCTGAGGGATATAAACGCTCAATTATGTGGCCAAAAAGCAGAGAGAAGGTACTTTTGCTTCACATATTCTTGCTCACTTTTTCACTTCAATTTTGTGCTTGTGATGAAATAGCAAATGTGTTCCTGCTGCTGCAGATCTGGTATCGTAACGTTCCCCATACTCAGTTGGCACAAATTAAGGGTCATCAGAACTGGGTTAAAGTAACTGGAGAATACCTCACATTTCCCGGTGGTGGAACCCAGTTTAAGCATGGTGCTCTTCTCTATATTGACTTCATAGAAGAGGTGAGTGCTCAAAATAAATATATTGTCTTCAAACTTCATTATTTTATCATATCGTTCATTACTGTCTCACTCCCTTCGTGTGCTGTCTACTTGTTGAAAAGTTTTGAGTTGTTTGCAGACATTTTTCATTTTATGTTCATAAACACATTCGTATAATTTTTCATGAATGATCATGAAAAGCACAATTTTTGTAGGTTTAGCTCATTTACATCTCTATTCTTTTGGTTGAATCTGTTTTCAAATATTTGATATGATTTAAAAAGAATATTTGTTTACCATCTATGGCATTCCATGTTGCATTTGAACAATGAGGGCAACAGTCAGTGTGACTTTAATTCAGGGTCTGTCTTTTCCTCTCCTGCAATTTGTTCTGTCAACTTGTGCTCCATGTTTGATTATTATTCTGCAGTCTGCACCCGAAATAGCCTGGGGAAAACGCTCCCGTGTGATATTGGATGTTGGATGTGGGGTTGCTAGCTTTGGAGGTTTTCTTTTTGACAGAAATGTACTTACTATGTCACTTGCACCCAAAGATGAACATGAAGCTCAGGTGCAATTTGCACTTGAAAGGGGAATTCCTGCTGTGTCTGCTGTGATGGGTACTAAGAAACTTCCCTACCCTGGCAGAGTATTTGATGTTGTTCATTGTGCAAGATGTAGAGTGCCATGGCACATAGAAGGTATAAAAACCCCATTGAATAATTTTTTTTTAATTATGAATCGTATTGGACTCATAGGATTCAGTTGCTAGAACTGCCTTTTATGAATTTTCTATGCTTGAATACTCATCGGTGTTAACAATATGCAGGTGGTAAACTCCTCTTGGAGCTCAACCGTTTGCTGCGACCTGGTGGTTTCTTTGTGTGGTCCGCAACTCCTGTTTATCAGAAAGGTCGTGAAGATGCTGAAATCTGGAAAGGTTCATGATCCTATTATAATATCTATGGGTATTGTGTGAGAAGTCTATTGTATCTAAAACCTGCTGCTGTTTGCGTGGATTTTCTGCAGCAATGGTAAAACTAACAGAAGCTATGTGCTGGAGGCTTGTAAACAAAACTAGGAAGGATCCAATAAATAGGGTAGCGGTAGCAATATTTAAGAAGCCTTCTTCTAACGATTGCTATAATAGAAGGCCAAAACAAGAGCCTCCACAGTGTCCCGACTCTGATGATCCGAATGCAGCCTGGTAATATTTCCTTTTAACTCTGCTATGAAAATAAAAGTCCGGCTAAAACCAAATCTAACATCTCTTGTTCAGATGACATAGAAAGATACACTAAAAGTTCCAATTTTGTTTATATATATAAACAAAGGTGAAATAATTAGAAGAAAGAAGTAGGGTGTAGTGGGGAAAAAAACTGAGATCATTGCACTTACTGTTCTTTAGAATAGACTAAGAAGGAGGAAGAAGTGAATTAAAAATGGATACAATTTTTTTATTAAAAACAATAAATTACTAATATAACTTTTGAATATATATTGTTTGTTTTAAGTTCTGATTTTTTTTGTTCCTTAAGTAGTAGGATTATTAATAGTATAGATATGCATCTCTAGCGATATAGCTATAATCCAAACTGCCATTTGAAATTGATTCTTATATAGGAATGTGTCATTGAAAACATGCATGCACAAAGTGCCTGTAGATGCATCAGAACGTGGGTCTAAGTGGCCTGAGCCATGGCCAGCAAGGTTGGAAAAATCACCTTATTGGTTGTTGAGTTCCCATGTTGGAGTTTACGGCAAAGCAGCGCCTGAGGATTTTGCCTCCGACTATGAGCACTGGAAACGAGTGGTCCAGTCGTACAGAAAGATGGGACTAAAGTGGTCATCTATTCGAAATGTCATGGACATGAAAGCTGTTTATGGAGGGTAAGAAGGCAAAAAAAAAAATCCTATGAAGTAGAAAGGATATAATGGTTTGGCAGGTTACATTTCCGGTTTATTTTATTGTTTTCTCGTTTTCTTTTCCTTGATTCTGACTACGACATGCTCATAGATTTGCCGCGGCACTCAAAGATCTGGGTTTGTGGGTCATGAATGTTGTCCCAATTCGCTCTCCGGATACCCTTCCTATAATATACGAAAGAGGTCTATTTGGCATGTATCATAACTGGTGTGAATCGTTTAGCACGTATCCGAGGTCCTATGATCTTCTCCACGCTGACCATCTATTCTCCAAGGTTAAAAAGAGGTAAGAAAAAAATGTTGTCCTAAAATGGCATTTGCCATAACATGTTATTCATTGTATTGCTGCAGCCTAACTTTACGACGGTATATGGCCTTTTAGGTGCAATATATTGTCCATGGTTGCAGAGGTTGATCGAATACTAAGGCCAGAAGGGATATTTATTGTCCGGGACGATGTTGAGACCATTGATGAGCTTGAGGGTATGTTAAGGTCTTTGCAGTGGAAAGTCCTCACAACTTTCTCCAAGGACAAGCAGGGCTTGTTGTGTGTCCAGAAATCCATGTGGCGACCTAAAGAGGTGGAGACGATCGCATACGCCATTGCTTAGGCATGCTTTTCGTTCGTTCGGCGACGATCGCCTTGTTTATATACTGCCAGGTACTGTGTTTTTGTTTCAGTAACTAGCTGAAAAATCATGGTGGTAAGTTCTCTAAGTTAGCTCTTACGGCTTGTATGACGTTAAGTAGGCCTTTAGTTTTGGATCGCATTTCATTTAACCTATAAGCTATCACAGTTTTCAGCCAGTGTCGTACCATTAATTCTTCATGGAAAAATGAATGCATTTCCATGATTTTTAGTACAAGTATTTAATTAATATATATAATTTTTTAATTCTTCCATCTTGTAAATAATTTAATAATTAATTTTATTCCGAGTTCTTTTATTTTTTAAATGTAACTTAATTTATTCTGAGTTGTTAAATAGTAATTATCCATTTTTACTTATTATGTGTCATTAAAGGAAATGTAGTGCTATTGGTTTTTTTATTTTATTTTATTAAGTTAAGGTGATTATAAAATTATATATGTTTTAAATATCTTCAACAATTTGACAATAAATGCTCAATCACTCCTGTTGCAGTTGCTAGTGTTCGAAACTGTTTTATTCCGAGTTCTTTTATTTTAAATGTCACTTAATTTATTCTGAGTTGTTAAATAGTAATTATCCATTTTTACTTATTATGTGTCATTAAAGGAAATGTAGTGCTCTTGGTTTTTTTATTTTATTTTATTAAGTTAAGGTGATTATAAAATTATATATGTTTTAAATATCTTCAACAATTTGACAATAAATGTTCAATCACTATTGCAGTTGCTAGTGTTCGAAACTGTGATATCTAGGAATAACAACTATTTTTTTAATTTGTGCATTTGTTTTTAAGATTAAACTAACCTAATAATGACTAATTAAATAAAGATTCAACAACCAACAACCAGTTGATCTAGTGGGATGAGGTACTAGGTTCCTTAAGCAAGGGCAGAGGTTTAAATAGTACCCGATCTGGATTAGTCGGTCAATAAATCGGATACCAGTGATTAATTCAAAAAAAATTCAACAACGGTAAACTCTCAAAGAGTTCAATCGAAAATGAAAAGTCCTTTAGATAACCAAACTTTATTGAACTACATAAAGTTTAATTGAACACAACAATCATTCTTGTTATAAGGGATTGTATTATCCAAAAGGTAAACAGCAAAGGCATATAAGCAATTTACATTAAAAATCAAGGATTAAAAGAAAAATAATAGTACCCATAATTTAGCAATGGGTATATCGGCACCATGTTCAAGGTTTTCAATACCATGCAACAATATCAATTTAGTTTTTGCAGTCGACGTCTTCTAAAATTCATGAAAAATACAAGAATTTCTTCTTCTTTTCTCCTCTGAAGCACCATATACTGTTTCTTTCCAATTATGTACGTATAGAAATATTAGAACTTAAAAAAATTGTTAGAGGGAAGACCATTTCTCTATGATATTATTGTGCTCTATGTCATGTACACAAAATTAATATTCATTTCTTTTGAGTTAGAGAGGAGCTCTCTCTTTTATCTCGAACTCTCTCTCTCTTCCCCTTGAAAACTTATTTTTCTCTTAACTTAAATCTCAGAAGATCAATGACTCTCTACCCAAATCAAAAAGTATAAACCACAAATCATTGATCTGACCACCTAATTTTCGACCATATTAACTAATGTGAACCAATACCTCACTCATATGCATCAACATTAGTATGGTGAACGTAAACTAACTTGCAACCAAAAGAATCAGTTATAATGCAAAAACCTAAGTATGTAAATCCGTCCCCATGTTTTGAGCTAAAAGCGAGATATATTGATGCAAGAAAAAGAAGTGAGAAGTTGAAAGGAAGATGTTGTTTAAGTGAGATAAAAATCAATTATTTCTATATTCTTTTGAAACTCGTAAGGATGAAATGATAAATTATTCTAAATTTTGAAACTCATAAAAATGTAAATAACGAATTCTAATTAAAAAAATACTTTAAATGAAACTTGTGAAAAAATAACGAATTCCAAATTAATTTCCATACAACCCTAATACCTTAAATATTTTTGGCGCCAACATTACTTGGCTGAATTTACAGATATGCCCAAATAATAATGAACGCCTTTTTAAATATGGAAGAATTCCCATTTCATTATATTATTAATATTTTATAAAAGGACTGTCGTAGAAAATAGACCGAAGGCCATACTATTACCGTAGTTTGCGGCAAAGCAAACGGACCGTCAAATGAATATTAGGTTAGAAACACGGTCTAGATTGAACAAGCCCACCAAACATACTTAGAAACAAATATCTGTAGTCAGATCGAATGACTCGAAAGATTGAAATATACAATTGGTAGCACCAGAATATTTCCTTTCTACCGCACTAACTACCGGTAATATATACTATAAAATGAAGGGTAAAATACAAATTCGATAACTAAACTCTCATACGATTTATATTTTATTCACGGTGCTTTCAAAATTTTCAATTTGCTCACTTAACTTATTTGGTTTTTTTTGTCACTCTGTCGTTAAACTTCTCACATCGTTATGATATGGCTTAGAAAAATAGTTTTTATGATATCGCCGAACCCATCTTCGACAAGCGATAACTCACACCGCATCCTCCAACAGCACCAGTGTCGCCTCCCGGTTGAAATCTGATAACTCTGTAAAAAGATTATATTTTGGGTCCTTTTACTTAAGTTATTGATTATCTAAAAGCTATTGTCATAGCATTTTAGTTGCATGTAATTGCATTTAGGACATTTATTTTATGTGGTGGAAAAGTTTTGCCTCGGCTAGTTTTTCTTTATAAAACCGATGTTGCTTATGAGAAAGGTTGTGTGTTGGGTGTGATGATACATGTGATAGGAAATGACCGAGGAGGAAATTATTTGCCATGACAAATTTTGTGCGAGGGCCAAAGGAACTGAAGATGATGACCTTCAGGAACAATTTTTGTCGCGGCAAGTTTTTTCTTGCAAACCTGATGCGGTACGAGACTAGATTGCTGACGTTGTGTGGCCAGATGTCCAATACACCTCACGTGAACCCCTGCCCTTGCCAATTATTTGGGACCACTGCCAGCTGCCATATTATTCACAAATTATGCATGAAATCAAGGGTAGTTGGGGGAATTTCAAGGGCACTAAACCCAAGAAATTCTTCACTATAAATAGCACATTATGCCCTTCATTTTGTAAAGACTCTTTCACCTTCCTTAAAAGCTTGGATAAAGGCGATCGTGACGTCCTCTATTCCATCGTTCCCTTCTCGTCCTTCCTTGGTGTCATCCATAGCCGGGCTTTGCCAAAGTAGCGACTAGGCCCTCGAGAGAGGCTAGCGCGCTGGAGCAGTCTTGATGGTGGTCTGATGTCGCGACAATAACTCTATTTTTGGGAGTTTCTTTCTCCTTGTTCTTCATTTCTTATCTTTCAAGGGCTTGTACTTAATCAATATTTTGGTATGATTTTAGCCACATCATGAACTGTTTTATTTGGTGTTGGATATGTTTGGGTGATACTTTATTTTATGTTTAATGGACGATTAAGTATATTTATGTTTATTGTTGTTTTGTTCACTATTTTAATCTTATTCCTTAGCACTGTAAGAGCTTTTTGAGAGATTGTCTGGTGCCTTGGCATAATATTCCTAGTCTTTGTAAGAGCTGTTGAGAGATAGCCATTTTTCTAGGAGTTGATACCTAATATTAAGAGAGTTAGGTTAGACCTACATGAACAAGAGAACTAATTCAGACTGGTGAGGTTCTAATCAGCCTTAGAGATAAGGGGAGGGTTTCAAGCGACTAAAAGGGATAAAACACAATCGATAGGCTAGGGTCACTGTTTATGCTGAGAGGTATTGTCGTGGCAATAGTTGTATAAGGTTCCTTACTAGAGATAACTTAGGGTTATTCATGAGTATCTCATAACCAAGAGGAATAACATATTTCGACTTGATTCAACTCTATAGGGTTTTTCTCAATTAGTATTTTGAATTTTGGGTTTTTTGTTGTTTTGAATTTCATTATCTTTGTTTTTAACAGAGTAATTCAAGGCCAGTTTAAGAGTTCATTGATGATACCGAGTTACAATGTTTGGTTCTAGGAAGATCTCGAGTTGAACACAAGGTGGAAGCTATTGATTTTGGCAATTTGCTTAGGATCGGGTTGAATCAGGGGCATATATGCATCAGAAAATTTGGGTCGGGTAGAGAATAATTTTTGAGTTAGGTCAAAGTGGTTAAAGATTTAACCTATCTCGATCCATGATTATCCCTAAATATAGGTAGAATTCGAACTCCCACTAATTTAAAGGGGAAATGATTGATTGCTTATATTATATTTAGACCTACATGTTTTGATCCGCTATGAAGATGGAAGTGAAGAAGGATGGACAATTTCTTAATCAAATGGTTAAGATTCAAGGTAAGAAAGTGATTATAAAAAATATTACCCCTTATAATTGTCTCAAATTAATAAAAAAAAGTCCAAATGTATGACTCTAAAATGATCATTGTCAAATTTTTGTATCTTTGGAATCTGAATATCCAAATTGATTTATAATTTTGAATTTGAGTTTGAATTAAATAATATTATTCATTAAGTATTTGAATTCAAAAAAATTGAATTTTAGGGAGCTTTTCAACTACATTTTGCAGGAGTTATCAACGTTTAAAGACTCCTTTAGATACCAACAACCAGTTGGTATAGTGGGATGAGGCACTGGGTTGGGAGGGTCGCCCTCGCTTCTGCAGTACTCGATCTGAGTTAGTTGGTCAATAGATCATATATCAGTGATTAATTAAAAAAAAGACTCCTGTAGATGTGTACTTTAACCAAAAATCTTTAGGGATAACAATTATCTTTTTAACCATTGAAGTCGTTTAATTCGTGCATAATATTACAAGTTTTTTTAATAATCTGGATTGATTATAGTATTAATAGTTGTTCATCGGAATTAGGATGTTCCATCTTCATTATTAAATTTTGTACACAAATATTGCAAAATGACAAAAACATGTTCAAAAAGCTGTCTTTTGAGAAGCAAAAACACCATAAATATGAGCAAAGAGCATGATGATATTTCTGAAATTGCAAAAAGAAGTTGCTATGTTATTAACATATTACAAGTAGAATGGAAAGAAAGAAAGAAAGAATAATAAGAAGTTGGGCAAAGAAAAAAAATGAGAAGACAATAGTTATTTCTTTGATCAAATTTTCATTTTTAGTGACAAGAAAAAGACATGAATATAATTATGGGTAAATATATGTTTAGTACTTAAGTTATCAACTTTGGTATGTTTTAGTACGTAAACTTTAATTTTTTTAAAATCATACATAAAGTTTTATTTTTGTTTCATTTTAGTGTCCCGTTAAAAACTTAACGTTAAGTTTTTAAAAAATTGAAAGTTTAGGTACTAAAATAGACTAAAACTTATAGTTTAGGTACTAACTGCATTAAGCTTTAACAACGGAGTACTAAAATGAAACAAAATTAAACGTTAGGTATGATTTTGAAAAAAATGAAAGTTTAGTACTAAACAGACCAAAATTGATAGTTTAGATATTAAACATATAATTTGCCCTATAATTATCTACAATCACGAACATAACTCTTTTTCTTACTATATCCCTTTGTATAAAGAGTAAACTATGTATATAGTCACCTATCTTTTCTCATAGTTCTGTTTTGGTCACCGACTATTTTTTAAAAAATATCATACTTTACATTACGTTTTTGTCTCATTTTAATCACTTGCCATAAAAAAATAAACAAAACTACTAACATGATAACGGATCCAGCCTTTTGCAATCGTGTAATACATCATTTGGAATTAAACATGCAAAATGGTTCATCGAATTTCAATCAAGACGGCATTGGACCACCATTTTTAGCTTCACCCGGCTTTACATTATTCTCATGAGAGTTCGATGGAGACTCGCCGTTGGCATCAACAATTTGAGCACCATCACCGTTATCATCGTCTCCGTCCATTGTACCCCCACCGCTACGGCTAGAAGTTTTCGCATCGGCATAACCGTTATCATTACCATACAAGCTACCAATCACCATCCTAAACCCGAAGAACCTTGACGTTAACCGATACAATACCGTCATGATCCAGAAGATCCAAGGCATGCAAACAAGGGAAAACCCGAGAGCCGGAATCAAGATCGAGTTATCAGAATGAGTGGTGAGCATGTAGCTTAAGAGGCAACCACCTCCAGCAACGACACACGTAAACAAAATGAAAGTGATGGTCCATATGTATGTTTGGCCAGCCGCAAGATCTGGTTCAGGCATTGGAAAATTACAGGAAAAGATTCAAATGAAATGAGCCTTTGTCATCATGTTCCATGTTTTTTATTAATGGCATCGGAAAATATCCATTGATGATGGGTTTTTTTTTCTTCCTACAAGGCGGTTGGTGGAAGGATTCTGGTTGTGTTTTTTGTTTTTCCTAGGTTAGAATTTAGACGTGTTCAAATATTTTGTTTACGTGAAATGTGGTTAATTTGTGTCAAAACAAAGAGGAGACTCTAAGGGAAAAAGAGAAGAAAAAAACAACGTGTTTAGTTTATATTCGTTATGCTAAACTTCTTTTTTGGTGACAAAGATAAAGGATTTAATTTTTCTATTATAAATATAAGATAATAGTTTTTTTATTAATATAGAGTAAGTACAAGTATTATTTGTTTAAAGATGACTCTCAACCATATGACGTTGAACGTTCAGACTTTTGACATTTCTGGTACTCGAACCCAGGACAAGAAATAACAACAATTCTTTTATCACCGAGATTGTTTGGTTCGTGCATGACAATAATTTTATTATAAGATAATGAAAGTTTACAATCTTAAACATGTGAACTAAGCATATAGTTAGGACATTTTCGACCGAAAAGGTAGAGGACTAAATTTTAAATATTCGGAAAAGTAAGGACCTTAGAGCATAATTTAACCAACTAGGAATGTTCGGTTTTATCCCCGAAAAATAGCTTCTTGCTTGTTGTTCACTAAAATGGCTTCCCAAATTTGCCTCCCTCTCTCAAACCATTACCATGGTTCCTCTCCAAAGTTACCTTCTTCCATACCCAAAGCTCTCAAACACCATTCTCATGAAAATAAGAAAATTCCCAGCAAAGATACCTTGCCATCTCCACTTACCCTCAGCAAGAGAAGCCTTAATTCCTCAGCTATCGCCCTTATCATCATTGGGTTTTCGCCTCGCAATGCCAAAGCTCTGTCTGTAAAAGATTTGGAAATCGAAAGATACGTAGATTATGAACAGGTTTTCACTCTTCTTAGGCCTTCTTCTTGGATTAAGGTACTCGTTTATCATTTATGTAAGATAAAGCATGAAGCTTTAAATGAATAAAAAAAAGTTTCTAGCTTTCCTCAAACTTCTGGTTTCTCAATTTTTCTTTGCATGTGATGTGATTAATGATATATTCGGGTGGCTAGGGTTGAGAAAGCAAGGGCGACTGTTTTGTTTGAGGAAGCAAATGTGGGAAGTAACAAAGTTGGGGTTGTTGTGAACCCGGTTCGTTTAAACAGCCTTGGAGAATTTGGCACTCCTCAATTTGTGGCTAATAAGCTTATACTGGCTGAAAAACGCAAGGTACCATCATCCAACTCTTTTATTTAGTTATTTTCATCACTTTCATGGCTTCCATTACCATTTTTTCTCTGAGGAATGTATTTGTATTTTCATGTCAATAACAACAGTTTGATGGTTATTGTTATAGAGCCTTCTTGCTTCTCTTCTTAGATTTAGGACAATAAACTGTAAAGTGTTCATCAATTGTCAAATTAGTAGTGTACATTTATAGATACGAAAGTTACATGTGTGATTCATGTCCATTCTTTCTTCTTTCTTTCTTTTGAACGGATACATATGTCTTGTTAGATAATATTCACTGATATATCATATCTTGATGTTAATGTACTTCTGGGATGATGGTGATGCTAAAGAAATGTCATACTGCTTCTTGATCCCCAAGATCCATGGTGTATGAGTGAAAGGGTTGATTTTGTTGGTTGAAGTGGTTTTCGTTGTTGTCAGTTTGAGTTGGGTGTCTCAGGGTGCCTTATTGATTTTGGTGGATGGCTGTCGGATTTGTAATTGTTTTAGTTGTAGCTTTTACCTAGTTGTGTGTACTCTTTTCCTCCATATAGGTTTAAGAAGATTTTTAACGACGCATGCAACTTAGGTTTTGGAATTGTTTGATTAAATCCTTAGTAAAATCATATTTGCCGAGAGAAGAAAACAGAACTCACTGATGTTCATGTTGATAGAATTAAGGCCTTCTGAGAACAAATTTTGTTCAATCTATCCAATGTCAACCAGTTTTTGTCCTTTCATATGGCTGCAAGTGCAGTACTCACAATATGTGAGAACATAACTGACCAGTCATATAATTTAGTCACATTTATAGGTGCAGGGGGGACTACCCATGTTGCTTTAACACTTCGTTTTTCGTTGACGTACTCATGTCCAACACTCGTGTCCGACATATGAATACGACGATATGACCTTCAATGGTTATTTGAATACATGGAAAAACTACAAAAAATCTGAGCATGTCCGTATCTGATACTCAAACCCGAGCCCGAGTAACACAGGAGACTGCCACAAATGTAGAATATCCGATGTCTTTATATAAATAATAAAATGTCTTCCTATGTGCTGAAATATTTTACCTGTATTTAGAAGATATGTTCAATTAAATACGGTTGGTTTTTTGTATTTCTTTGTTCAGTTCTGATGTTTTAAGGAAATTCAAACAATGGTGTTTTACACAGTACTCTTTTCATTTACAGGAAAGCACAAAGGATGCTGAGGTAATCGGAGTTGCCAAGAGACCGGGTCAAGGAGGCTTACAAGTGTACGAGTTTGAGTACAAAGTGGATAGCACCAGAGGGGGAATGAAGAGGATCCTTTCGGTAGCGTTCGTGGCGTCGAAGAGGCTCTACCTTCTTAACATTGCTCATTCAGACAAACCTGAAAGCCCTCTTGATGCCCATACAAGAGCAATGTTGGAAGAAATCCTTCATTCGTTTGATTCGGCGCCTTCGACATAGCGTTCGGATAAAGTATTATTCTGGCACGACGACATCGTTCTTTCGCACATCGGTATTCAAAGTCCGGTAATTGCTTGCTGCTCACTCTTTTTTTACCATGTTTAAGTTGTATAGGAAGATATACTACCTGCAGACTGCTGAAAATGAAAGTGGCAAACAACGATTGGATTAATTGGCATTTAGGGGACAATATTGACATTTCATGTAATTTTATTTTGTAATTAATTTTTATTTACTCATATAAAATAAATTAAGAAATAAATGGTGATGTGGTATTTTCTGATTGGTTTGTAAATTTTTTTAAAATGGTGTTAACGATTTGAGACAAACAAGATAACTATTTATAGTTAAAAGAGGCATAAAGTACCGAAAAATACTTTAAGAAACAACTCAGTAAAAAAGATATAACTTAGAGGGAAAATATGCATTTAAGCCTTTAAAATAGTCAATTTTATTCATTACCTTTTTGAAAAAGAAAATGAATAAATCTTATATAAAAATATTGATTAAAATTGAAAATTTGTAATGTTATTGACATGAAATTTTAATCTATGCAAATTTCATAGAATTTTAACTTTTCAAAACTATTTTTAAATTTAAATTATTTATTGACTTGACATATAAGATATTTAATTTTATGTTAAGATAAAATATATACAGACTACCATGTGAATTATCACTTTGAAATATAATAAAAATTTAATAATTTAATTAACATTTTTATTAAAATAAATATTTTTTAAATTAAATGTTAAATTTAAGGGTCAATTCAATGTTTAGTATCCAACTATCATTTTTGTTCTGTTTTGGTCATCTAATTATCTTTTGTTTTAAAAACTTATGCATCATTACATTTTTGTTTTAATTTGGTTACCCACAATTAAAAAAACTAACAGTGATATTACGTGTCATCATAAGGTAATATCACATCATCATTAAAAAATTTAAATATGTCATCTCAATAGTTTTATTAATTTCTAGCGTCAGGTGGCCAAAATGAAATCAAAAAACATTAGGTCTAACTTTAAAAAAAGTAATGGTTGGATGACTAAGATAAAAAAGTGATAGTTAAGATACTAAATGTGTAATTTATCCTAAATTTAATTAAAAAAAGAAAAGTCAGAATGATTAAAAAGTAAATATTAACACTAAAATTTAGCCTCACACTTTTAAATTTTAACCGATCACATTTACTATAAGACGTTATTTTATTGAGTCATTTAAATAGTAAAAGTTATAAAATGGTTTGTCGATTATAGATTATTATTTTTGTTGAATCATTCGATTATTAAAAGTTACTAAATAGTTACTCAACTATTTATATATTTCAAACTTGTCATTTTTATTAAAAAATTGATGGTTGTCTGAGATAAACGTTAATATACTGAATGAGATATGATAAATCTAATGCTAGAATCTCAAACAACTTAACGATCATATTTTATCATATAGAGTTAGTAAATTAACGTTTAGCTCATACGACTATTAATTTTTAAGAGAAAAATATAAGTTTAAAATATATAAATAGTTCAATGATTATTTTATACATTTTAATAGTATAAGGACTCTAAAAAAATAAATACCTATAATTGAAAAATTATTTTATAAATTTTAAAAAGAACATTTACGTAATTTATACTTGATTTTTGAACACCGAAATCTATAAGTTTGCGATCACTTACTCTTTGGTACTATAGCAAAAACCAATAATTTAACAATAAAGGATTACCTGAATTCATTAATATTATAGAATACGATTTAATATAAAAATAAATGTTTAAATTGTAATTAAAATTGATTTTTAATGATTAAAAATTATTATTTTAGAAATAAATGTCTAATTTTTTTGTTACTTTTAAGTGTATTGTAAAAAATATTAAATGACACATGTTATATTTATATTTTTTCTATTTTTCTTTAAAATAAAATATTATTTAAAAGTATTTTTTTTAAATCTAAACGTTACATGTGTTCTCTAATGATTTTTTTAACGACGATAGTCTGCCAGACGTCAACCAGGATGGACCGCAAAACAGATAAGTCTGTGTGATGATGCTGCAGCTGCAGCAGCATCGTTTTCAATCGAGACTCACGTGTACCCCATCTCTCCAAGCATCGTTTCCTGCATGAGCCTCCACGAAATTTGCCTCGTGAGGTCCGTCAATGCAAGCAGTATCGTTTAAAGGGTTATTTATTTTATATTAAGTGTAAATATATTACACGCAACTAGCACTACTGAGTTCATTAATATCAACTGATTCTTTGCCATTGGAAATCCCCACTCAGTAAAAATGGAATAATATTATTTTAATAAATTATTTTAATAAATTATTAAATTATTCCATATATTAAATGTTGCATTCAGTTTCGTTATTAGCAAAATATATATATATATATATAAACTGTACAGATTCATATTGTTTGACTTCAAAGTTGAATCTGTTTACCTGAGTTTGCCCTAACAACTCTACAAATCCCATTTTTTCATGGAAAAAATGGGATTGCGGAGGGATGCCGGCGTTGTTTACAAGCCCGTTGAGCAGATTGATCTTGGTCCTTGCAGCAATGAGTCGTACTTTAGAGTCGATAAAGGTTTTCTTTTCAATCAAACCCCTTTTTTTGCGCATTAATTTAACATCGTTAGTCTTCTCTCTATTTATTTCTTGTTTCACATCGAAATTCATACTTAGATTTTCTTTTATTTCAGTGATCAATACTATTCCTTGAACAGATTCTCAATTTTTGCTGAAAATGAGAAAGTAGTTTCATTTTTAGTAGAATGTGATTTTAGTTGCTGAAAATGAGGAAGTTGTTATCGTCAAACTGTTTCAAGAAGTTATTTTGTTTAGTGATTGTAATCAAGAAATTCAAGATGGATTGCAGTTGTTCTGTTTCTACTTATGTTTTACTTACTGCAATAGCACTATAGTAGTTGATCACTTTCTGGTTTAAATGGATAAGCAGTTCTGATTTTTGGGAATTTTAATTTGAGCAGCTGAATTCAGGAATCAGTGACTACCCTTTGAAAACCGTGTTTAATTTTACTTGATTAATCTTCGCTCTGACTGGATTTTTTACCCTTTTTTTCTTGGATATAGCTCCTCGTATGGCTGGATTTCTGCTGAAAATCTTTGCCTGGTTCTTGGAGTCAAGGATCATTGGAGCATTGTTGTTGTACATAGTGAAGAAGAACAATCAAGTTTACAAGGTGTGCACTTGTTAGCTTATACACTTGAAATTGATTTTTAGTTTCATATTCGGATTAGGCTCTGTAGAAAAATGACATTCATCCAAAAAGAAAGAAGAGCAGAACTTTTTTCTCCTTATACACTTGTAAAGCGCTAATATGGAAAGAAACATTATACCTTTTTTTTCAAATGGAAGATTAATCATCTAGCCTGAAAGACTTCAGTGGGAGTGGCATTTGTTTTACATTCCATCTTGGAAACTTAAAATGGTTGCTTGTCTGCTATTAATTGTGAACTTTCTGATTATGCCTTCCGTTTGAATAGCTTGTTACAAATGCAACGCTGGAGGAGCCACCTATGTTCGTTCCCTCGTATCCTATTGCTGGTATGTGCCAGATACTTGTCGCAGTTCATATGCTTCAGATTACCACATTTTGGATACTGCTGACAGTTCGTCTTCATCATCATAAATAGAATCAGACTTTTTCTGTCTATAGTAAAATTAGGTTATGGAAGCATTTTAGAACTAGTTAAACACTGCATCAAAATATTTGCTTCCATTAAAATCTCTAAGAGTTCTCTGTCAATTTCATTTGCATTTACCAAGAAAGGAATGCCAGGTTAGAGGCCACTACTCTGTCATATTCCCTCCCTATATGAGAAACCAACAGGGAAGAAACGTAGAATATTATATTACGCCAAATTGGATTCTAGACTCTGGAAGTTTCTTATGTTCCAAAGGTGTTCAATTAACTTCTAATTACTGCAAGTGGTTGTGCTACGTAACTGCTGGTCTAGGTAGGTCACAATAACCGGGGAAAAGAAAAGTGCACCTTGCTTAGGGTATGAAGTATTGAGAATGGGATATATCATACATTGCTAGTAGTTTAAATAAGCTTTTTTTACGTCATATAAACATATCTCACACCCTCATGTCTTGATATCAATGTGTACTCTCATTCTGTGAAGGTGTTTCTTGTCTTGTGTCTAATTAGATTGCATTAACACAGAGCTTAACCAACAAGAAGTCAAACAAGTTGACTCTGATGCATCTCCACCTGAACGAGTTCAAGAGGCAATAAAATGCATTACTGTAACCTCGGAGAAGTCATTGGATGATCTAAAACTCAGCTGTTTTCGACGATGGACTATAGCGGATTATTCAAGAGCATATAATACTGGAGCAATAACTCCTCTGAGAGTATTATTCTTGGCTATCTCATTTATGACATATTTTTGGTTCCCTTTTATATGTGATTATATTTCCACTGATTTTTGGGACTTTCTTGACAGTTTGTGTCCTTAATTTTTGGTTTACCACAGTCGTGAAAATCAAATTTCAATTCTGCAGGTTGCAGAGCATTTTATAGATGCTGTGCGTGAATCTTGCAGGCCTCCTTTTCCAATGTCCTTCTTCATTAACTATGATGCTGAAGATATTCTAAGGCAAGCTAGAGAGTCAACACTTCGGTATAAAAGAGGTAACATTTTTACTATAATTAATCAAATTTACATATCCTAATGTGCTTTCTTTATGGAGACATTGTTGTGTCCATTATCATGAGCCACAAGGATGTAAGCATTCTCCATGATGGATTATTTTATAAACCCTAGACCCAAGATCGGAGAGAGAAGCAAGTTAACAGTTGATCTGCAGGCTTAGCAAAAGTGGACACCATTTTAATGTAGAATCCTTTTGATTTATAACATCCCATTGTCAATATCATCAAGACATTCACATAGATCTTATTGTTCTCCTCTGCAGGGAATCCAATATCTACTCTAGATGGAGTCCCTATTGCTATCAAGGATGAAATAGATTGTTCT